GCAAAGGTCCAGAGTCAGGGTGATACTTCACGTACCATTGCCTCAAAACCATACCGCTGACAGCGACGGGAGGGTCGCTCTCCGAGAGAAGCTGCGAGAGGACCTCCGCGGCGGCCTCATCGGCGAAGCTCTCCCGATACTGATTGAGTCGAAGACGCTGGCCTATACATTCCTCCACAGCTTGGGCAGTATTCAATGCCCCCTTGGCGCCCCACTCCGTGCTGAGCCACTTCTGGCATACCCTGGCGTCAGCAGATACAGATAAATGTCCCAGGAGCCACTGCTTCAACGCGGCCCCGTCAGTAGTCCCCTCGGGCATGTCTTTGCGAATACGTTCTCCATACCAGGTCTCCAGATGGCCAGCGTTCTGCACTTTGACAAGCGTCTCTTTGGAAGAATACTGCAGTAGCCACATCTTTGCGACCTGATCTGTCACATACAGTGGTGGATCCAACTGTCGGAGCGCCCCGCATAATTTGAAAGGTGTATTATACTCGATGCCCAGGTGGCGGATGGCAGAACCGTGCTGCTCCTCCAGCTCCTGGGCGCTAGAAATACTAACCTTGCCAGGCACAACCCGATATTTGCCCCACCAAGTCTTGCACGCCTGGTGACTGACCTGGATACCCTTTGCAACGAGCGCCTGATGCAAATAATACGGGCTCTCGCAGTCGGCCAAGGGAGGCCGCGACAGCTCTGGGCCATACTGGTCGTCAAGGGCTTTCGCCGACAAAGCCATGACCCATCCAAGAACACAGGCGATACCTTGATCCGAGATGGCTACGGATGTGACAGTGATCAGTCGGAGGCTTCCTGGGGCCGCTTGGGGTCCTCTTGGGGAAGGGGGGAAGCCTCCTGGCGCCGCTTGGGGTCCTCTTGAGGGGCTTTGGGGGGCTTCTTGGAAGCATCTTGGGGCCTCTTGGGGGCTTATTGGGTCCTCACGGCGGGCTCTTGGGGCCTCTTGAAGGCCTCCTGGGGCAACCTATGGCGCAACCAGTAGGGGGACGTTTTATTCTCAGCGGCCGAGGGCGCAACCTATGGCGCAACCAATAGGGGGGCGTTTTATTCTCGGCGGCCGAGGGCGCAACCTATGGCGCAACCGCAAGGGATTATGGCCCCTGGCAGGCGCGCGAACCCCGTTGCAAGAGCGTGCGAAAGTAGCTCGCGCGAGCTCATGTAACATAAATGTTGGAAAACCATTGGTTTTTTTAGGATTCGGACAGCGCGCGCGGGTGGAAATTTTGAAAAGTCGTGCAGGTGTTTTTCGAGGACCTACGGTGCGATTCGTGTGATTTTATGATGCGCGGTGCTAAAATTCTTAAGAACCCAATGGTTTTTGGAGATTTCGGCGTGCGCGCGCAAAAAAAACGAATGTGTCCCGCATGGTATTATTTGACAGGGATGATGGCCCTGGCAGGTGCGCAACCGTTGTCGCAGAAGTTCGAAAAAGTTGCTCGCAAAAGCCCGTTTGACAGAAATGTTTAAAAAGTGTTGGGTTTCCTACGAATCCGCAAGAGCGCGCGGGATGAGATTTTGACATTTTTTTGTTGAAAAACCATTGGTTTTTTGATGTTTTTATGTTAAAATCGCTCCGAACACTAAGGTTTTGGAAGGATTTCGTCTTGCGCGCGCGAATGTCCACTTTACCTTATTTTTTGCAAGGGATTCTTGAAATTTGATTATATTAGAACAAGAAATGTCATTTTATAGTGTTTTTTGCAAGGGAAAACGGATTACAACAAAACAACCGGATCTGGACCCCATCCACTTTTCTGAAGCTTTCGCGAAAATGATGAAAATGTAGCTGCGGCCTAGGCGCGGCGGGGGGGCCGTGCACCAGGGGTCCCAACAATAATTATTCTTTAGAATTAATAATGTTCAACAACAACAACAACAACAACAACAACAACAACAACAACAACAACAACAACAATTACTAGCACGTGGGGACACTCCGTTCTCACCAGTGCCAGGGTTTTCATAGGAGGCGGGCAATACCCCCACTTTGTGGGGGGGCCGGTTCAAGCTCTACCAAATTTCCAAACGACTCTTCGCCACCACCCACACCCAGCTTCCCGCCCTATGACGTTCGGACACTTCACTTCGTGGCATGCGGACGACCGTGGCTACTATTCAGGGCCCCGCGGCCGACGACGACGGCGTGCGCGCGCGAAGAAAAAACGAATGTGTCCCGCATGGTATTATTTGACAGGGATGATGGCCCTGGCAGGTGCGCAACCGTTGTTGCAGAAGTTCGAAAAAGTTGCTCGCAAAAGCCCGTTTGACAGAAATGATTAAAAAGTGTTGGGTTTCCTACGAATCCGCAAGAGCGCGCGGGATGAAATTTTGACATTTTTTTTTGAAAAACCATTGGTTTTTTGATGTTTTTATGTTAAAATCGCTACGAAAACTAAGGTTTTGGAAGGATTTCGTCTTGCGCGCGCGAATGTCCACTTTACCTTATTTTTTGCAAGGGATTCTTGAAGTTTGGTTATGTTAGAACAAGAAATGTCCACTTTAGCTTATTTTTTGCAAGGGAAAACCGATCGTAACAACACAACCGGATCCGGACTCCCCCGTTTTGCCTGAGACTTCCTCACGAAAATGATGAAAATGAGGCTGCGGCCTAGGCGCGGCGGGGGGGTCGTGCACCAGGGGCCCCAACAATAATTATTCTTTAGAAGTAATAATGTTCAACAGCTCCCGCGTGAGGCTTTCTCACAATTTAGCCAGGACCCCCGCTCCCGCCTGAGACTTCCTCGCATGTTACTAAGGAGCCGCACTCTCGCTTAGGACATCCTTGCAATTTATGCAGGAATCGCTCTCTCGGCGCTCTGGAGTCGCGCTATCGCTGGAGACCTGCTTGCAATGTACTCAAGAATAGCGCCCTTGCGTTGGAATTTCCCGCACTTTACTCAAGCGCCGCGCTCCCGACACTCAGGCACACAGGAGACGCGTTCATGCTTAGGACTCCCTCACCAGTTTATTTAGGAATCAGGATCTCGCTGCCCTTCGTGGCCCCGTTGCACCCCTTCGTGGCCCCCTCGCTACCCTTCGTGGCCCCGCTGCAGCCCTTCGTGGCCCCGTTGCAGCCCTTCGTGGCCCCGTTGCAACCCTTCGTGGCCCCTTCGCTGCCCTTCGTGGCCCCGTCGCAGCCCTTCGTGACCCCCTCGCTGCCCGTCGTGGCCCCGTTGCATCCCTTCGTGGCCCGTTGCACCCCTTCGTGGCCATTCGCTGCTGTACGTGGCCCCGTTGCAGCCCTTCGTGGCCCTATCACCTTCGTGGCCCCGTTGCAGCCCTTCGTGGCCCCCTCGCTGCCCTTCGTGGCCCCGTTGCAACCCTTCGTGGCCCCCTCGGTGCGGTTCCTGGCGGCCCCGTTGCAGCCCTTCGTGACCCTCGTTGCAGCCCTTCGTGGCCCCCTCGCTGCCGTTCGTGGCCCCGTCGCAGCCCTTCGTGGCCCCGTTGCAGCCCTTCGTGGCCCCCTCGTTGCCTTTCGCGGCCCCGTTGTTGCCCTTCGTGGCCCCTCGCTGCCCTTCGTGGCCCCGTTGCAGCCCTTCGTGGCCACCTCGCTGCCCTTGGTGGCTCCATATATGTATGCCCTTGGTGGCCCCCGCTCGTTCGCGGCCGTCGTGGCCCCATGTGCATGCCCTTCGTGGCCCCGCTGTCGCCCTTCGTGGCCCCCTCGCTGCCATTCGTGGCCCCGTTGCTGCCCGCAGCGGCTCCGTCCGTGCCCTCCGCGGCGCAATCTACGCATGCCCTTCGTGGCTCCCGCTCGTTTAGCGCCCGTCGTATGCGCATGCCCTTCGTGGTCCCGCTGTCGCCCTTTGTGGCCCCCGCGCTGTCCTACGTGGCCCAGTTGCTACCCTCAGTGGCCCCGTCGTTGACTTCTGTGGCCCTACATTATCAGCCCTTCGTGGCCCCCGCTCGTTCGCGTTCCTCCTGGCCCCATGTGCATGCCCGTTCGTGTCCCCGCTGTCGCCCTTCGTGGCCTACTTCGTGCCCTCTCGCTTCGCTCGTCGTTGTCGTCGTCGTCGCCGTCGTCGTCGTCGTCGTCGTCGACGTCGTCGTCGTGGTCGGTCCCCTGTCCGTCCCTCTTGGGGTCGGGTTGCCGCCGATCAGCGCTGCCGCTGGCCAGGCCGACGGTCCGCGGCCGCCCCGCCGCTTGCCGGGGTCTGGCCTGCAGGGAAGCAAGGTATACCCCCCAAAAGGGGTACGATCGAAGACGAAGAGGCCGGGTATCGAGGGTTTGGGAAATACGCGTTAACAGACACTCGAGCACATAAGAGCGAACAGCCTGAAATGATTAAATATGGTTGATCTCCGGAAACGGTTCCGCGCGCTCTCGCCTCGACGCTGGCTTCATTTCCTCTGAAAACGAGGCTCTCGCTCGAACGTTGGCTTGAGCGTAAATGTGGGCCTGTTGAGGCCCAGCTACGACAACAACGGATCCCGCTCGAAAATGCAATGTGCACCGGGCAGGGGGGATCAACAATAATGATACGTGGCATGTAAAGAAGATATACCCCCCAGGGGGTACGATCGAAGACGAAGAGGGCGGGTACCGAGGTTTGGGGATATACGTATTGGATGGCACGTGAGCAGATCGGAACGAAAATGCTTAAACTGATTGTTGTTGGTGGTGTCGTCGTCGTCGTCGTCCTCGCCTGCGACCCCCCCGCGCCCGCCACCTCACTCCTATCCGACATTGCGGGGGTGTTACGTATGCCTCCTCCTTCGGGTTGCGAGGGGCCTATCCCCACCTGGGCAAGTGGCCTGGTGGGGCTGAGATACCATGGATCGATAGGGATTGGGTTAGCTCGGGCATGTCCCCGTACGGGCTGATTTTGGGCGGAAAATTAAAAACAGCCAAACAATGCTCAAACATGGCATAAAATAGTTGACACATCGTCCCCAAACCATGATGACACTGTTTTGGAATGTTCCTCCTGTAGAGGGACGGGCCCGACTTGAGGATTGGGATCGGCTGGGCGATGCTGAGCCTTGGTGGCCGCGATCTTCGCCATGCGCTCCTGGCTGCTGGCAGCGTCCAGGCCCTGCCAGGGAAGGCGGCCCTTCTCGAGGGACAGGCAACGACACACAGACATAAACGCTCGGCGTCCCGCGTGGACGTTTCCTTTGGATCGGCGCTGGGCCCTGGCGGCGCCGACGGCGCCGCTCCAACAGAACAACTCCGCGCGGGGTTCCGAAGGCATGCCGCTGCTTCTTCCCCGACCTTCAGGAACCACACCAGCAGGTAACCGACGGACTCGAGGTCGTCGCGCCTGCTGAGCTCCTCGCCCGCGTGGGCGCGGAGGCTCGCGTAGCGGGCGGTGCCGACCATGCACTTGCCCCGTTCCTCTGGGATGTGCCTCATGGTCTGCGGGTCCCTGTACCTCTTGGCGCAGCCGAAGTCGAGGGCATACACCTTGCTCTCGGCACCGTGGGCCTCGTGATCAATTGCTCTTAACAGCGCTTGGGGCATTTTGGTGTCATTTTTGTTCCACGTATCGCTTTTGGCCCGGCCAGGATGTTTTCAACATGGTACCCCAAAACGTGAGCGTCAGGTAGGCGACATTGTGATTTGCAAAAGCGCAAGAAAAAATAATGACAACAGAACGAAAGCGGGCAGGTGGGCCACGGACCAATCCAGGACCTGAGATGTACAGACACTGCGCCCAACACATATAAAATACGTCGACCGTCAAAAAGAATCACCAACAAATTGCGACCGGCGTTCTTAAACATAGAAGGCCTCGTGCCCGATGCAGAAATTGTCAGGCTTTATGTCCCTGTGGAGGAACCCTGCCGAGTGCAATTCCTCCGCATAGCCTGAATCAGTGGACGGCCTAACGCTGGAGTCCACTGTGCAAGCGGTGCTAATCCAGAGTTGTTACATCCCCTGACACTGGCTATACGCATAGAGGCCTCCTAGATGGTGCCCGACTAGATATGGTCACAAGATCGCGCCGCATCGCCAACGCATCGCGGATACATCGGCGATGCATCGGCGACGCCGGCAGTGCATCGACCACGTCGGCGTTGAGAAAATCGAGCTCCACATCGAGCCGCATGGCCAATGCATCGACCATGCATCGGAACCCATCTGTGAGGCCCGGTTCCCAGCAGCTCCTCGAGCCGGCCCACTATCTGCTCGGCAAGGGCTATGCTGGTCCTCAGGCTGAAAGCCCCTCCGCACTTCTCGTGGAGGTCTGCCAGCGATGGGCCCAGCAGGTCCATCACGAGCGCCTCATGGTCCCCATCGCGGCCGTACCTGGGGGGAACAAGAAGGAAACCGTTTTTTAGAATCCGCGATAACCCTGGTTATCCGGGGAGGGAGGGCGGGGAGGGGGGGGCTGGCCGATAATCTAACTTTCGCGCTGTGGGCAGCCCTTCATATGCCCGCGCGCACCGGTGCTGCGGCCCCTACAACTGCTAACCATGCTGCCGCGATGCTACTAGTGGTGCTGCGACGATGCGGGCGCCGTCTGAGAATGCCTCAGGGTGTCTGGACAGCTCGCATTGGAATGCGCGGGATATGGTTGCTAAGCGTAGCCGCGAAGTCTTGTGTCCACTACCTATAGAGCACGCGTGCACCACACTGCCTGTGACCACTACAAAACATGCGTGCGTCACAACGGTCTTGCACACCACAGGTGCTGCTGCAGCAGAGGCTTCTGCGTGCACCATAGCGCCCGTGTGAACTGCGATGCTTGTTCACAGCACAGGAGCCGCACGCACCACAACGCATGGCGAACATTTGCGCCACAGCGCTTCCGTGCACCTCCAAAGTCCCGCTGGGGCCCAAATCTGGAAAATCCTTGGGGGCCCGGCCCGAATCTATCAAATTCAATATGTAGGTTATTTGTGATTATTGATTTTTCTGGGCCGGGGTTTGGCTGCATGCTTTTTGTGTACACCACAGCGCCTGTCTAGCGTGCGCCACGACGCCTTTGTACACCACAGCTGCTTGTGCACACGGCAGCGCGCGTCTACACAACAGTGTCTGTGTAAACCACAATGCCTGTGTACACTATAGCAGCCGTGTGCACCGCAGCGCCTGTGTGCACACCACTCACACTGCCTGTGTACACGACGACGCCTATGTGTACCACGTTTGCTGTTTCAGTTCCATACTCGTGCACCACTGTACTTGTCCACACCACAGAACTGCGTACACTTCCAAGACCTCCGGCGGGACCGAACTCCAGAAAATCGCGGGGGATCCGAACGTATCAAATCCAATGTGTAAGCTATTTGTGATTCTCGATTTTTCTTGCGCAAGGAACGGTCCTGTCTTTTGGGCCCACAACATGTGTACACCATAATAACGAATGTGTGCACAGCAACGGATGTGTACACCGCAGCGCCCGTGTACACCACAAGGTGTGGTACACCGCAATGACCGTGCACCTCATTGTCTCTGCACAACACCATGCCTGGGATGCCTGCGTAAATGATAACTGACGTTGCAGGAACAGTTGTGCACACCACAGAGTCTGTCTTCACCATATGGCCTGGTGCATCACGATGCCCGCGTGCACCGCGCGACCTGCGTGCACTTATGCGTGCACCACAACGCCTGCGTACACAACAGCAACAACAGCAAACGCGCGCACCAAATCGCCTCGCTGCCTGTGCACAACGCAGTGGTCGTCGTCGTCGTCGTTCGTCGTCGTCGTTCGTCGTCGTCGTCTGTCGTCGTCTGTCGTCGTCTGTCGTCTGTCGTCCTCTCCCCGTGCCACTCCAAACCCCAACGAATCGCCAACGTACATCCAAACACCAGCATGCTGTGACGAACACCACCGTACCGTTGAACACAGCGCTCCTTGCGCCCCCCCCACGACCTGCACAACCGGCTAAGTTAGATTACCCTGGGGGGGGGGTAACGGGGGGCGAGCCCAATAACCCGGGTTATCGCCGGACCCACCCGCAAAAAAACAGTCTCCAGAAACCTACAAAAACCGTCAGTATCTGGGCCTTTCTGGTGTGTGAGCTGGCTGGGACTCCGAATGCAAAGGCAATCGGTGCGGGGCGGCCGCGCCCGCCCGGGCGGCGGCCACGCCGGCGCGCCCCCTCTTCGCGCCGCCCTGCTATGCTGCGAGTGCGCTCGCGGTCCTTCCCCCCCCGCCCCGGCAACCCAGCATGCCCCGCCTTTTCCTGCCCAAAGCAGGGGCAGGCTAGAGCGACGACGGCCTCCCAAGAGGCCCCCAAAGGTGAAAATTCGGAAATGACACCTGCAACAATACTCCAGATTTCGTAATAAAGAGAGGGGGGTCTCATTTCGGGGGGGGGTCTCTTCCAGGCTATCTTGGAGGGCCTGGGGGGGTCTGGGGACGATGTTTTGGAGGGTTCTCCCACGGGGGGGGTCTGAAATGGCTTGTCTGGGAGGGTCCAGACCCCCTCCCTTCTATTGTGAAATCTGGAGTACGCTCTTTTGTCCCCTGCGCTGGGAGCCTCTCTGCCCAGAACATCGTTCACATGGTCTGTTGAACGTCTCACGGTCGAGAGCCTGGCTTGAATAATGACCACTACTTACGCAGGACAAAAGATGTTCCTCTTGAGGCGCCAGCGGCGACGAGCGATTGGCGATAGAGCATCGGCGCGACTTGTCCGTGACAGTTCGTAACCAAACCCCCTTCCTCCGAATAATATTGACAGCGGCGGGCTTGGATGCCGCGGATCGAATTTAAATTTCGTCAGCTGGTTTGATGTATAATGATTATTCGTATGATTAGTCTGGTTATGATTATTGCTATTCGAAATATTAGTGTTCTTCTTAGTATTGGTAAGAATAGTAGTAGTAGTCGTCGTCGTAGTAGTAGTAGTAGTAGTAGGAGTAGTAGTAGCAGTAGTAGTACTAGTAGTAGTGGTAGTAGTAGTAGTAGTAGTAGTAGTAGTAGTAGTAGGAATAGTAGTAGTAGTCGTAGTCGTAGTAGTAGTAGTAGTAGTAGTAGTAGTAGTAAAAGTAGTAGTAGTAGTAATAATCGTAGTCGTAGTCGTAGTCGTAGTCGTAATCGTAGTAGTAGTAGTAGTAGTAGTAGTAGTAGTAGCAGTAGTAATAGTAGTAGTAGTAGTAGTAGTAGTAGTAGTAGTAGTAGTAGTAATAGTAGTAGTAGTTGTTGTGGTAGTAGTAGTAGTAATAGTACTAGTAGTAGTAGTAGTAGTAGTAGTAGT